CATACAGACTTTCTGCTTTATTATAGGAGATATCTTATGTCTTTCTGATTCAGCAGCTATTATTTTCCTTCCCAAAATTTTCATCATGTAGCCGTGTAAAACATCACCCGGGAATACTAATGTCGTTGTTTTAGAATATAAAATAAGTTTAGAGGAGGAAGGAAATTTTATAGGCTCGATAACGATTTGGGGGCAAAACTTGAAAACCAGTCAGAAATCTGCTTTCGGTACAGAAAAGATATCAAGACAATATCCTTTTCTTTCCAAAGATTAACCAAATTCTGCTGCACTAAAAGCAACGTTTGCATAAGACGCAAATAATATGCAAAGTTTTATCATGATTAACGCATGTGATTGATGAAATCTCAAAAAACAGTCAGTCTGCCGCTTGCTGCATTAGACTTCGCCAACGTGCTCCAGCTTCTTGACACTTGAGAACGAACGCTTTTGTTCATTAACAGTTGCATCCAAACAGATGACGTTGCGATCACTTCCGCTTCATAATAACTGCAACGACGTGTTCAACATAGACAAGTATAATTGCTTCAACAACTCGTGGAAAGTCTAATATTACATGAACTAGTTCCAAAATTGGAATTCTAGTTAGACACAGAGTTTTCGTACGCTTTAGAAGAGCAAGTACGTTGATCTAACAAACCTGAAATCAAGAGAAAACTCGTGAAGGCTGCCCCTTCTCTCGAACGTTGCAAGAGAAACAATCGAGCGAACCACTTCGGCACAAAATGGTAACGATGACATTAGTGCACAGAAGAAGAGCCTTTTATCAACGTCCTAAATCATGACGTAATGCTCCAAAATTCTTTCTGCAAATGACTTGTAAAAGTCAATATTCACTCTTACGAAAATTTAGTGCAAAACATGTCTGCATATTTTTTCGCTTACTTTGTATCTATGCTGTGGATCTCGAATTTTCGCAAAACATGCAGCGTAGCATGTGGAGCAGGCAATCATAGCCAATAAATTGACTACTGCTGTTTGACCTGTCGCATACTGAAATAAAATAAGAAGTTATTACTTATGCTTAACATGCGCTACCGTACCGTAATCATTACTCCTGCTGACAATAAAATAACACCATCTGACCCAAAACTCAAAGAAATGGCAGTGGAATAAACATATGGTAACGATGTTGAGAGAATTATCGCCCATATAGCTACCATACTGAGCACTGTCTTGGGACGCGTCCAAATCTGAATCAGAAACAATATGTTCACAGCTACATCCAAGGAGTTAGTGAATCTCTTACAAGGGAAGGATGCAGAGTCGCAGTGGCGATCCGCCAAGAGAAGTATACCATAAGCAACTCTATCAAGAATGCATCCCAAATCTGTTTTCCATATCTGCTGGACATTCTGAGAGGAGCTGCATACGTTTTTTCCTGTTCAATTTTTGCTAAACGCATGTCATAGGAACTACCTCAACAACGTAGGGTGAGCGGGTAACGTAGTGGTAAGTATTTTACGCGTGTAGAGCAACTTGATGTATCTCTATCCTTTATTTTTTCAACAAAATATAAGAAATAAAATAACGGATGAGCACTTACCAAGCTCAGCTAACTATTCAATTAACGTTTTTTGTAAAAATAAAGGAGATAGATGTGTCAAATTGCTTTACTCACATTTAAGCAATTAAAAAATTGTAATGCAAAACAAACTGATCTCGCAGGATTCGAACCTGGCTATAAAAGACCTACGCGTAAAAACCCACCACTGCGCCATCCACTCGCCCGATGTTTTTGCTAGTTCGGCTAGACAAGCATTCACAAGAAATTGAGCAGGAAAAAACGCGTGCAGCTCTTCCCAGAATGTCGTTCAGCAGATATGGAAAACAGTTTTGGGATACATTTTTGATAGAGATTCTTGTGGTATATATCTCTTGGCGGATCGCCACTGCGACTCCGCATCCTTCCCTTGTTAGCCCACTTTTTACGCCTGACACCGTAATGCTTGCATTTCGCAGCTTAAAATCCAGAATGACGACTAATGCTTATAGCAAATTTTGTTTATCGAAATGTGCAGTTCTTCTCAAACTCAAAACAAGCCTAAAAATTTCGAGTATTCATCGATGCCACCGCGTAAAAGGAAATTCTCTCTTTAAGATAAGATGTCATTGTAAGTTGAAGGAGCATCACTATTACCTTAAATATCTAGAATCTAATGTAGTCATTCTGATTTCGTGGAGACTACTTGATTCTTTGATATCCTCATCAAATCATATTTATTTGCTCGGGCCTATTGTAGAATTAGAATAGGGGACTTGTCAATCAAAATCACAAATTTGCATAAAAAGTGGGCTACCAGAATTTTAACCCTTTGAATGTGGAATATGTATACGGTACGACTATACCGAACACGGTAAATTGATGGTTATGAACGAGTAGAAGCTTTTTACCCTACAACAAGATGCTGCAAAGTGGTCATGATTTTTTGTTCAGTATATTGATTAGCCCAAAAATCCTTCCTATGAAATGAAGATAAGAATCTTAAAAAAA